TAGGAGCCTCGAACTTATGCCGTGGGGAAACCTCAGAAACCATTTTGATCGTAAACAGTGTTGCGTTTTCCATAACGTGATCTGAACTCCCTCACATGCAAGTAAAATCAAAACGATTAGAAGGCCGGAGCATTAACACAAATATGATATATGTGTAATTTGTTAAAAAGGGTAAGTTGACACATCAAAAACAGGTCCCAGCTGTCTGCTAGGCCACGTTGTTTCTCACTAATGGTAAGATGCGAAAATTAAAAAAAAAACCCTGGCACGACTTATCGAGGCTTCTGCGCGTTCTGATTTAGAGCCGTTAACGGCAAAATCAAAGCTGTTTTGCAGGCCACCCCAGAAGTTGCCGAACTTCTTGATTCCATGTTCACGATTACGCTGTACATTGCTTCTGGTGCTTGGCAGGCATGTTTTTAGTGTAGTGTACGCGATTCCATTACCACATACCATATGCATCGCATCCGCTCTCCTCAATCCTTTTTGACAATTACTACAAGCTGTAACCTGGTCCTCTGGTATAGGTAAACTAAATGTGAGCACTAATCATGGCCAATCGCCAGTGCGTTATATTTCTTGCACCTTTTTTCCTTGATATGGGGTAATTTTCCAAACATCGCTCGAACTCTTGTAATTAGCCAAGCTTTTCGATTCCCTTAAGAGACATCCGGGTTGAATCCCCAGAGAGCTCGTTGCTAGGGTTCCGCTCGATCATTACTAATATTTATCACTAGAAAAACATGCGCTTACAGGAACTTCAGATGGATATCTTTTCCAACAGAGGGATCTTAAAAAAGATATCTTTCATTTGACAGAAATATCCGCCACTGGACCAGTTCCTATGCCACAGATAATTTTTTTTTCATGTGAACCAACTATGTGACACAGTTTTGGTCCGTGAAATGAACCTTGACCGCTTTGGAAAAATCAATTCATTTAGTAATAACTACGATATAATCTAGTATCACATGCATGCAAACGACAGCGTGCTACTCAAGAAATTCAGCATCTAACAAAACTTTTTCTATGATAATCTCACAATATCTTTGGTAACTAACCCTCAGAAACATCATCGTGGTTCCATTCCGCCATGACATTTCTAAACGGATAATCCTTTCCGTCCCACATCTACACACTGACTGATCCAAAGCCTTCCCGCTTAGCTACTCTCAATAGGCGACTGATAAACTCCTCGTCGCCATCGTAACAGTGTGCCAGAGAATCCCGTACTTTATCCCATGCACCCTTACAATTCAGTACTCAGCTGTTCATTACTTGAACACCGGCTCATATGTTTGGGTGTTCTCTTTGATAGACATCAGTCAACTGACAATTACATAAATGAATTCGCCTTAGATCCGTTTTCTAAGAAGTAATTAGAGCGGATATCGAGAGCACAGAAGTCTAATTGTGACCTTCGAGGGCACGAAGAAAAGGCTTGTTGAATAAGCACTCCTTGATGAATCGCTGAGCCTTTTCCTCTGAAAATTGGAAGTTTCTCAATGTTCTTGCATCTTTGTCTAGGAATACTGTTCTTGTGGAGCACACAACAGTTCTATTTCGCACGATATTATACGGTGAGCCCCTGATGGGAACTGGGCCAATATAAAAGCGTGCTCGTCCAGTTTTCACGTTCTTCTACAATAGGACATCCACTCTGCTGTGAAAGGACTCAAAGTAGAATTTTTGTTTCGAGATTTTCTACCCTAAAAAATTTCTTTTTTGTGGTTTTTTTCAAGTTGTTTTTTCCGAGTGAACTGTTTTTTTCAAATAACGAGCATTTCACGCATGTAGTACCTTATGAACCTAATTGAAAGACCTAAGTAGGGTAAAAAAGATTCTGATATGCACAGTTTCCGCGTTATGACAATACAAATTGTAAAACGAAATTTTCTATGCCAATGAATTTGCCCTTTTTCCGCTTATCGATCATATGTACTAGTCCCTCATTAGTCGTACAACAGTTATCTTACACCTTGTTTTTTCCCACTCTCCATTCAAGTACTTCTTCCTTCTGTTGCCTCACCTTCGTGGTTCAGCCTGATGATGACTAACTCCTCTGTTAAATATGTTGAATTAGAGATTTGTAAACAACGGCAATTCAATTTCAGCTGTTTACCGCAATCATTAATTATGTGACATTGAATGAGATGTTGGTTAATGGTTTCAGAACCCTCGTGGCAGCAATGATTGACATACCTCCTCATTCAGCTATCGCTCCTCATCGGGGCTTCAATAACAAAGCTCGTGAGGTGCTCATTGGAGGCTCTGACATCCACCTCAACGGTAATCCTATTTGCTTACCAGTTGTTATGTACATTAGAAAAAGGCTGAACGCATCTGAATATGTGTTTTGGCTGATTACCGTACTCCCTTTTTTTACGGATTAAATCGCACGACCTGTCTAACAATAAGCCGTATGCTCGGCATAAATGAACCTTTTGACACCCTCGATCTGCCTCAAGCAATGGTCGCAAAAATGAAGCTTGTCAGGGATTGCTGTCAGTGGCAAAACAGATCACTCCAAGACTTGAACGACTATTGGCTTCCCAAACAGATCGCCCAATTACGAACATATTCACCTCGAGCAGGCAGCAAGCCCTACTTATCCCACGGGCTTCTGGTACCCTTGTGACACCCATGCTCAATGATCTCTTTTATAGTGGGGTAACACAATTTTTGATCATTACAAGTTCAGTAACTCCCTTTTGGTTGATTCCGATCGAAAACGAGCTTTTGATTACTGGAACATTACTGGGGATATAAGCCAGTTGGGTAAAAGCCATCATAGGTGAGGTCGAAGGCGTGGGCAAAAAGTACAATTATTCTATCTGGACCAATTTTTGCATTACTTGAATGATCTATAGAGGCATGTTATTCATGCAAACAGCTCATTAGCGACATATACAAGCGTCCATGTATTCAACGTTTTCACGTTGAAACGGTTAAGTCGTCGTTGTTTGTGAGCAGCCAACGGCCGTTGACTTGGCAACACGGCATATGAGGTGACATCCTCTTCAAATTTTAGTTGCTTCGAATCCCTACTACTATGTTTCACGTCAATTGAACTTATACTACATAGTTAACTAGTATGTATATGCAATCACATCATCTACTGTTTTTGAATCCCGTCTTGAAGGGGCACATGCAAATAGAGCGGCTTGAGTTTCACTTCTTTCATAAAGCAACTGCCACGAACGGTAAAGTTGCTGTGTAGGTGAGACTAACCTCATGACTGTTACTGTATTCCATTCAGATAGCCGTTTTTAACAGCTCGCAATCATTCCTTCCTTACTGAGCGGGCAAACTAAGCGAATCCAACTGATCAAGTTGAGGGCGACGTAAACGCAAGCCGTCAGAGCGATTTTACCGGAAAGCACTCTTCTCAGAATAAGAAACTCATTGCGATAGATAATACTCGACTATATCAAATGGGCTTCCTCAGCTGCATCTTTTCGTACAATTGTGTTCGCGTGTAGTTCACTCCTAATGGAGAAGCCTGAGCAAACTCGAGCAGAAAATTCCGGCTTCACTCACGCCACCTACTGGCTCACCGGTGATGAGGTTGTTGATGGAGTGGCTAACTCGACCCACTTGGCAATATAACGCTTTGGAACGGGCGAAAACCTTACATAGTCGTTCACGTATGACCTTTACCGTAGGCGCTGAATGTTGAGCAGAACCTTCGTGTTGATCCAGAACGATCCAGGGCAACGTCGCTTTGTGTGGTCCGCCGCTCTCGGTGACCGCCCTGTTAGCGCGAGAGTTTTTTGCTTATTCGGCACCCTATAAGTTGGCATCAGTAGACCTCAGCAATAATCCCTCTCCAGCCGTCCATTCGCTCATCAAAATATGATCCTCCCTCTGAAAAATTTGTTTTTTGTTTTCAAGATGAATAATAAATTGTTTCCTCAGCATTTAAGCTTCAGCGATGGCCAACAAATCGTCGAGCGATTTTGATCTTCGACGGAAATTAGCAGCTGGTTTAATGCATTCGAAAAGTCCTCCAGCAACGCCAAGCTCACCGAAGACACCGAATTCCTCGTCTTCCTGTCATGAACAGCGTGAGTTCTGAATTTGGCATAAAAATTAAAAAAGGTTAGTTTTGGGTGAGCTCTTAGAGCCACTTCGCCTTTCGGAAATGGAGAGATAGGAAGTTTTTTGTTCAATTGGAGTCGTCTTAGGTTTGAAGGGATTTGCAGGCGCTAGCTCTATGCTATAGCTCCGTGCCATTTAAGTCTCACTAAGCACTTTGATATTTCTATTGTAGTAGTTGTATAAAAACCTGCATGATGAGATCTGACATATACCACTGTCTCAAATTGTTTGTATTAGTGCTGTAAACTTACTTGTAGCTTGTGACCGATTTCAAGCTGAATTCTCTTTTTCTATAAAGCTTTGATCTGTAGGGCTAGATAACAATCATAAAATAAACTTGTAACTTGGATTGGATGATAAGCTTTCTTTAACCATACCTTGCAGAAGCCAAAGGGGTTCGGTCTCCCCGAAAACGACGCCGCGCTCGCCGCACCCGATCGCGCGCAGTCGCGCGCTTTGAAGGGAAAGGTTTGAATTCCTAGTGCAAGGATAGGATAGCCGCAGCGTGATCTTTGCCGCTTGCTGTGGGAATTCGTGGGAAGTTTCGGTACTCAAGCACTTGCGAGTATTTGTGTGTCACTCCACATTTGTACTGGACTGTATTGGACTTTTTTACTGCTTCTGTTTTTAGAATTCCGCTTACGATATCAATGACAATTTCCGGTAGAGCTTTCCTTTGTTAAGCTCATTTTACCTATGGGCTTTGAGCAACCCGTCTCTAGAGACCTCNGGAGTGAGTAATTGAGGGCGTAAGTTGAACGAAATTGATCGCTTCTCTCCGAAATAAGATGTTTAAACGTTTTTCACATAACCTAAGATAATTTTTGTTTTTATTGTCTTGATTGTGCCTCCATTTTCAGCGCTATTCGATGCAATTGGTGAAAGGCCGATGGTAAAACGTCACAAGCACCTTGAACAAATTGGCAAAACGAAATCATGTAGTGATATAAAACACATGGAAAGGCGCTTAATGAGAACATATCAGGAGGAGAACATCATAAAAATGCCGAGGTGGGAACTTTGGAGCTTGAACTCTTTAAGTTCATCCTATGATCTATATTGATCTTGGAATTTAAGGATCACAGTCGGATGGGGGTCAGTTAGAGGGTAAGTAAGCCTGGTAGCATTCGTATTCGTTGCCAACTTCATCCTAACTGTGTTCAAAACCCAAATCTTATGCTGAAATAACACTTTACATGACAAAGGGGCTCTTCTTTTTGTCTAGCACCTCAGCCAGAGGGTGTTGCAGATCTTCGCCCTATTGCGACCCCTGTCGTGGTCAACCACGACTTCTCTATTTTCCCATTTCTTATCGTTGGCTTATTGTATCATCATATACTCATTCGGTAACATTCCTCTCGTTCTTATCCCGTCACATGTGCTGTTCTTAGTTGACC